GGAAGCCAATGAGCCAGCTAATGCAGGCTCGGGTAGGGGGGGGGGGGGTTGAGGTGTGGTGGGGCAATCCACTTTCCCAGGTAGAGTCAGCAGAGCAGCTAACAGATTCCTCACCCTACATATATTTTCATGTCGGTGGATTGCTTTCCCATCGCTGCTGTCTTGCCTTCTTTTAACTTCACTTCATCATTCCACATGCCCATAAAACAGGTTCATTTCATTTGCCCCATTTCCCTAAAGGTGGGTCTAGCAATACTTCCCTCTGTAAAATGCACTGCAGCTTTTCCTATCTGCATTTTGAAAGCATATGGGTCTGATGGTGCTTACATACAGTTATGACCTAACAAAGCCAACTCATGATGTCAAAGCGCTGACTTAAGAAACACGTCCGATGCTGCAGGAGCATGTCGTAAAACATGATGATGGTGCACGGGCGTGGTGATCGTGAATGTCATTTAAGGAAGCTAATGACCGCTATCTGTTTGAAAGGGAGATCGATACGGTAATGAGCAGATGGAGGCAAAGGCGTAATCACCGAAAGCCCAGCGGTGCTGATATCCACAGAATAAAATAGAGTTGGGTCCTGGATGGCGGCAGGCTGACTGACACATTCAGTGAGACGCTCTCTCGCTACATCTTACTGATTTTAATGACGTGGCCTTAATGTCAAAAGAGATCTCTTCCTTAACACTTTCTCGGTTTTTCTCTTTCAGTGCTGATTCTCACGTCCTCACTGTATTCTGTCGAAATATCTGACAATTTGGCAAGAACACCTGATGTGGTGCTAGACCTATAGACAGGAGTTCTTGATATTTAACCTCTATTATCACATATTAAGAGGTATGGGTTATATTGATGGAAAGTTTGGGGTCTCTGCTGGAACTGCTACCCCCGCGACCCGACCACGGATAAGCGGGAGAAGATGGATGGATGGTTATATTGATTAATGTGAGGGATTAGTATAGCGTTTAATGGAGAGTTGAGATGTAGCACACACATCACTGGAGCTCATGCCCAATGGATTTAAATGGAATTTCATTAAAGCTAAACGAAAGAATGATGACTTTTACAACTCCCACTGGCAGCATTTTTATAGGCAGACATTTCACACTAATGACTTGAATATGAAATAGTGACCCCATCGCACTAAGCACAGTTTGAGTAAATTGGGCTCACTGGTAAAATAACCTTCACCGCAGTGACTGTTTAATCTGTTGTTAGAGCTTCTTACAGCACGGGATCTTACAGTTCTCTGCCTCGGGACCAGGAGCAAGAACTTTAGTCTCTGCCCTCGCACCCAAGCTAATTTGAACATATTGGTAGTCTACTTTTATGATTAGTCAACAACAGCAGGCCTGTGACCCAGTTATTGGACAACTCTCTGCTCTATCCTTACAGGTATTTCCCAAGTTGAGCAACAATAGGAAATACTGCATGCATAATTCATCTCCGTACACCAAATGTTTCCTAACAACACCGACCCAAGACAGCGAGGACAATTACAGTAAACATACGCACGACTATCTATAATGCATATATGGATGGAAATACATGCTATCACTGACCCTGATATGAAATAGGACACATGAGCGTTGTACTGGCTGTGACACAAGCTCAGTGTGAGTGTCGGCACCGCCCACTGTTGACGGTGCGTCTGTGATATCCATCTGTTTCTGGCCATGACTGGCTAACTGAAGGGAACCAATGGAGTGAGACCTGATTTGGTGTCAAACGGAGTGCTTGGATAAGGTAGTGTGTATGGATTTGGCGTGTGTGTGTTGGATCACGTACTACAGCTTATGGTGTTTACGTGCATCCTGGTGAGAAGTTGTGCTAAGAGCCAGGTTTGAGTCAGAGTTGCTGTCCAGAATGGAAAGACGGACAGGGAGCAGGTTATGCACAGGGGGGGGGGGGAAATCTGTTAATGTTGTGACTAATCAAATGGACAGCTGTGATGTGATCTCATATCCATATGCCATCCCAAAATGTCACACAATCGTGTTAAAGTGGAAAAATCAAGGACCATGTCCAAGGACAGCAAGTTTACCCTGCCATTGACTGAAATGTTGTTTTCCTCTTTTTAGCCTTATATTTCACCTTTAACGCTTTATTTCTTAAACTCAAAGTTTAGGGGTTTAATTGTTCAAGTCTTGATTTGTATGTGAGTGGTGCAGTGGAGGCTAATATAAAACCCCTCTCCAGACTAATAGAGTTTCCCAGCTAGAGGAAAAGAACAGGTAGGAATAATAAAAATTGAATGTCAAGTGATGAGGCATGGTTACAGAAATATCATAAAAAAACACACTTACATCAGTCAAAACCATTCTCAGGTCATTTGTAGGCTATGAATGACTTCATAGCTACTGCGTGAATGACATCAAACAACTGGAAGTGTTGCTGTACAACCTAACACAGCCTGCCTTTGATCACTCATGTGAGACACAATAAAACAATTGAAAGTGACAGCATGTGTAGTTAGACTGAACAAAAGACTTTAAGAAATTAAGAGTGTGATATTATCGGCTCCTACGCTGCAAAATGTCACTTATATAAAGGCCTCTATTGGCAGGCAGGGGGAAGAGGGCGGAAATGTTGTCTGAAATGATGAATTGATCTCAGTTAATTTATGGACGCTGGAAAACCCAGAGGTTGTCATTTAATGATAAATGGACGTAATACTGAGCAACGGGGACAGCAAGTCAAGGACTTGGGGAGGGAGGCTTAACACATGATGGATGATAATCATGCATACTATGTGGCATTTAAGCAAGTGTGATGGGGTGTGTGTGTGTGTGAGAGAGAGAGAGAGAGAGAGAGAGAGAGAGAGAGAGAGAGAGAGAGAGAGAGAGAGAGAGAGAGAGAGAGAGAGAGAGAGAGAGAGAAAGGAGATTTTACATCAAATGTAAGGATGTGAAAACTGAATATTTGCAACAATAATTTTAGATTGCAGCGCATAGAGCAAAATACAAACAGAGCAGCATTTTTAGTATAACTCCATTATATAATGTTATCTAAATATTAATCATTTTTTATGTTTATAAATGAAATAAATATAAATGTAAAAATGGTGTTAATAAAACACCTATTGTAAATTATCCAGTGCCTCTGAAATCACATCACGTTTTTTAACTTTTGTACAAAAACTTATATTTTGAGTGATACATGTATTCATTTGCAAAAAACAGACAAAATGGACTAATAGCATTATTAATAATCATTTTCACCACGATAATTTAGTGGTGGTAATCTGATGGTGAAAGCTTTAATTGACATGAACAAAGCCCCAGAGGCTGAGATCTTCTGACTTTGAGTCTCTAGTAAAGCTACTGAAACCCTGCACCCTCTGCCTGGGTCAACGTCCATTCCAATGTTTGTCACATTGTTAAGTGTCAAGACGAAAAGAAGATGATAATGAAGTGTTTGTCACAAAGATAACGTCATTAGAGTTCCGACATGGACTCCAACAATCTACATTTCCAGCAGCTCGCACACACTTCATCTATCCTGGATCGACTTATACTGTATTACTGACTAAAGACGACATGAACATGAAAAAAGGTTTAACACGAGAGGCCACTTAGTAACAGTGAAATAAATAAATCATCTGTGGTGGATATGATCTTTCCTCAGTATGTTTTCAGAGCAGATGTTTGCTTTACATCATATCAGATCATGTTGCTGACAGTAGGAAGAACGGTAAAGTTTGTTTTGCTTTAATTATGTCTTCAATATCTCCCATGGAGAGCTGTATTTTAATAAAGGAGCAGTGAGAATGAGTTGCTCACCGCTGCTGTCCCCGGTTCTTATGTCTGATGTTTGGGCCAGTGTAATCACCTCAGGGCGAAGATGACCAGCTCTGAATACTAATTTAAATCCGCAAGCTTTTTCACATTATTCATATTATGCATGTAGGTAATTACTCTTTACCAACAATCTTTGAGGTAAGTGAATTCAAATGTCCCACAACACAAAAAGAAATAAGTCCTTTTTAAATCAGGTGATGCAGCAGTCATCCTGCATTTTAAATACATTTGATTTTGTCTCGTGTTTTTGAAGATTTGTGAGAAATGTCACTATGCCCGTCACACTAGCGATTTGTATTTGTAATTCCTTTATGTTAAATAAAGACAATAGATGCTGTTTAATTATATGCTTTTGTAATATAAACAAAATGGTGACGTTGAATTGAGCAGACGTCTGGATTGTCCAGTTGGCTCGTGATGAATTTAACGATAACATGTGTAAAAAAGGAAAATCCTGTGATTGACGGTTACCATAGGAACAAGTTGACTGAAAAACACCAACTCTGCAAGCCATCACACTTCACGATATTTGTTTAGCTCTCATCATCTTATTCTTCATTTAGAACATGATTCCAACATGATAATATATCTGATATGTTCACCTACTATGTGTTCTTATGAAGACATTGTTGTAAATTGTCAACACTTGGATGTGAAATCTGTTATAAGATAATGGAGTAAAAGTGAATATCAAGAATAGATAGGGAATCATCTGATAAAAGACAAAGCAAGTGCAGAGATGCTTTATTAAGATCTAATGTGTTACCTAAATCTGGTCTAGTTTCCTAACAAATTCAGAATCTGATAAGCTTAGGGCATGAAAACAGTAATCTTCGATTTCAGAAGTGATGTCTAGTTGTGTTTGGGAGGCAGGTCTTTTAAATGTCCTCAAACAAATCAATGCTCACAAGATGCAGCAGTCTGTTGGCACAAACACTGACTGTGTGTTTGTTCCTGTTCCAAATGATAATAGAAAAGTCACCTACAGTCGAAAAAATAAACCACCAGTGTGTCACTCACACCTCTCTGTTGCCAAACAGCTCACAGAAGCAAATCACCGTCACTGTGAAAAAGCTGTTTGAAACCAACAAAAGATTACGTCTGTCACTCACAGTTGCCACATCTTATTAAAAACAAACAAACCAAATGTATGTGTCAGATTGAACAATGCTCACTATACATCAGAGCTTCACTCACCCGTCCCTGTTTTCATCGTCATCGGCGTTGGAGAGGAGCTGAGAGCCGGCCAGCGAGAGGTCCAGAGCCGCCAGGGGCAGATCTCTGTAGCCAAAACTCACCAGCTGGACCGGAGGAGCCAGATACTGGTTCTCATCCTCCACAGGCTGCGAGATGATCTCCAAGTCCGAAAGACCTGCCTGCTCCATTTCCCTAGACACATGCCAACACCAGCAACACGAAGACGAAATACAAACAAACATGCAAGAGGAGACAGAGAAGAGAAAAAAGCATACATTACTTCAAACAAAAAACACGCATTTCTCAGATAAGTTCAGAGATGTTACTTCACACTTCTACAAGGAAGTCAAACCGAGCGGAAATGGCAGTAAATGACTTCATATTTGCAACAATAATGGTTGATACCTTGGTTGATAGATTGCATAAAGTGAGCATAATGCAAATAGTTGGTGCTTAATTGGTGTCATTTAAATATATTAAATATACTAAATACTTTGAATGTCAAAATCCCAGTTGTGGCATTTACTAATGATCATAAAAGCTGGATCACAGAGCAGAAGAAAAGGACAGAAAGGTTTGCTGAAGAACTGACTGTATGCTTATGAACACAAAAGCAGTGAAGATTAAAAAAAAGACTAATTATTCTGCCTGGCAACTTCACTAAAAACACATTCTTATTTTAAGTGATGGCCTCAGGGAGTGAGCAGGGAGTGAGCTGGGAGTGAGCTGGGAGTGAGCAGGGTCAGAGAGCGTTACACACAAACACCCACTCAGCACAGGGAGCTGCTGAGGACTCTCACAGCTCTGTGATGAGGACCAGAGGAGATGCAGGTCTTCAAAGACACTGGTTCCTGGGGGGAGTGTGTGTTTCTGCGACTGTCCACATTTTCTAAAGCAGCCTGAATATTTGAGTCGCTATCATCCAATAGAAAACTAACTTAATTCATAACAGCACAACACAAACAATTCAGATATGGATAGCCACAAACAATGATGACGAGTAAGAGGAGGGTTAAGAAATAAACAGAAAACAGCAGCTTCAGTGATAATCTTATCTGTTTACCGCTGCTTTTCCACTGAGGTCATTGCAACCATGTTTCCTCTTTTAGAAATGGTCTAGTTTCTGTTTGTTTGTTATTTAAAAACACTTACCTTGCTACATGATCATTTGACAGTTGAGACATTGTAGAACGTACACAACTCAAAAGTGTTCTTTATGTTACATGGTTGCTGTAACTGCTAAACATTTATATTATTTGAAGTGTGTTATGTTAGTTTGTTATTTTTATCAACAAATGAAGAACCAACCTAACAAAGCTTGTGGCAAAACGTTTGTCCTCGCTACAGTCATGTAAGCTAGCAAGCTAATGTTTGATAGCTATGACTTAGGGGAATTTCATTATAGTGGCACATACTCTTTACTCACTTGATTGTAATCGAAAATGAAGTGGGGTAAAATATAGTGAACATCATCACATTGTTTTGCTAGGTGAAAGGTGATTTGAATCCCATTTGAAATTGGGTCAACATCTAGTTTATACACCTGACAAAAGTGACTGAAATACAACTTGAAATGATAGTACTTAACATCCTTTGAGGAATATACAGTATGTACAGTGTGCCCCATGTTGTTGGGGAACATTTTTTAAAACAACAAAACAACCCGTTTCTGGTTTCTACTTGTTTCAATTATACCTTTAAAAAAAACATGGTTAAAGAGTACCTTGGTTAATTTAAACACTTAAAAATAAACAGGTCTGTTTAAACTCTATTTTAATCCCTCATAATGTCAATACATTTTTTGTCAATTTTTGTTATGTATCAAGTAGTGATCTTTAGGAGGTATTTCAACAAGATTAGTAATGTAGTAGTAGTAGTAGTAATTGGACGTTAATCTAATAACTAAGGCAACGTTTATTTGTGTTTGTACCTATACAGTCTATGGTTTGTACCAGCAAACCTCCACCCTAAAACCCCCGGAGTCCCTAAACCTAATATCCAAACACATGAAGACTCAGTTGTGGGCCAGCATCACGTAACCCGGCGTGCCCACAAGCCCCAGTTGTTTAAAAGCTGGGCCATCTCAGAGGAGCGTGGAGGTGGAAACAAATGCTGAGTGCAGCTGCAGAATGACTCTGTGTGTGTGTGTGTGTGTGTGTGTGTGTGTGTGTGTGTGTGTGTGTGTGTGTGTGTGTGTGTGTGTGTGTGTGTGTGTATGTGTGTATGTGCATGCGTGCGTGTGCGTGCGTGCGTGCGTGCGTGTGTGTGTGTGTGTGTGTGTGTCCTGTGGTGTGTATTTTTAGACCAGAGCAGATGTCTGTTGTGACGTCATCGCCTCTCTCTTTGTCAGCTGAGTGGATCCCCACTCTTATTCAAACGTCAAAGGAAGTCAGGAAAAGGGTGAATGGGCATGGGAAAGTAGAGCAAAAGTGGGAGAAAAGGGGGGTGGATATCAGGGGTTACACAAGAACAACAGGGGAGGGTAATAATTACAAAAGGAACTGTGAACAATAAAAAAGAGAAGATTGATCAAAAATAAAAATAAAAGGTCACAAAATAAAAATGTATGAAAGAGACAGGAGGAAATAAGATTGATCATAGATTGGGCAAAGTGAAGAAGAAAGTAGAAGTACACTTTTCGCTTCTGAATTCTTCACTTCCTCTTCTTTCTTTTCCTATAGTCATTTTCAAACTGTCGTGACAGAGAGCACTGAGTTCCCTTAAATATTCGGAGGAAAAATCACGCTCTCTGACGGACAGGCATACCTTTAGGAAAGGACAGACAGGTAAACAGACAGGAAAGGGAATATAGATATGCAGGGGGATAACAGATAACCCCCAACACACACACAACCACTATTTATTGAAATATACAGTGATAATGTCAACGCTACAGGACCTTTAATGCGATCTTGTGTGACCTCAGCTGTTAGAGGGCAATGTGTGTTTGTGTTTGGTTTATTATCTCTCTCTGTGTGTGTGTCTCTGTGTGTGTGTGTGTGTGTGTGTGTGTGTGTGTGTGTGTGTGTGTGTGTGTGTGTGTGTGTGTGTGTGTGTGTGTGTGTGTGTGTGTGTGTGTGTGTGTGTGTGTGTGTGTGTGTGTGTGTGTGTGTGTGTGTGTGTGTGGTGTGTGTGTGTGTGTGTGTGTGTGTGTGTGTGTGTGTGTGTGTATGTGTGTGTGTGTGTGTGTGTGTGTGTGTGTGTGTGTGTGTGTGTGTGTGTGTGTGTGTGTGTGTGTGTGTGTGTGTGTGTGTGTGTGTGTGTGATGGGAATAATGGAGACTTCCAAAGCCACCAAGGTTGATCTGATCTTAACTCATGACTCTGTGACCGTACCAGCCAAATGTAAAAAATATATTGAAGAACATATCATATATTAATGATCTGTTATGTTTAATTAAGAAGGCTATGTAACTAACAAAGCAACTCATGTCATTATTTGGGATAAATAAAGTATATATATTTATATATCTAAAGCCACAAATATGCAAAACTCATTCAACCGGCTCATGTTGCTAAAATGACCCAAACCAGCAGTAAAAGGTATAAAAAGAATATGTATTGTAACTGTAACCTGAAATCATAATAAAGCACAGCCCCCGCAGCCCATTAAACCAAACAAGTGAACAAATGGAGAGTTTGTGAGATGAAAAGCAACAGAGCATGAATATAAGAAAAAAAGGCACCAGCTGTAGTTATGTTAGCGCAACACATCCACCGAACACACATCCAAATGATTGAGTCACAGCCATTGTAGGCAGGTGTATCCTAACAAACTGTTTCAGGTGAGTAAGCATGTGCCCATCGCCGACAAAGACCTGGAGCTGATCTCAAAGTCTTTGTCCCGTATACATTCTGTATGAACAGTCCAGATGTATCTAGTCATTTATGATTAAGTGGATTTCTCACGCAAATCAAATTAAACATTAGTTGACGTATTCGAAGCAGATTGAAAGAAAGTTACAACACAAAAGATATTTAATATCAAAATAACTACAAGAATACTTTACAGTCTAAGGATTTTTCACTCTGATATAGTGATACGAGTTAAGAGTGAACGCTTCTTTTCAGAATAGAGGTGCAGATCCCAAGAGTAGTCTATAATCACTGCATGTATAGCATACAACAGCATGTTCCTTTGTTTTTTTATTAATAAAAAACCCTCTGTTTTCAAGGAGAAGCGTTATTGCAGTGTAGTCTGGAGAGTTGCTGCCCTCATCCCAATTTGATGGGATTATTTCCCTTGGCAAGAGGGCCTTACATTTCTACGAAGTTGCATACTCTATATAGTCAAAAAGATATTCACCAGAGGCTGTGATGCTGTTGACTCGTGTAAAATACAATATGTATTATATGAGTCAAGAAAACACATTTCTGTAGGCAGCAGCTTTTTATAATTGTAGTAGTGTATAGGTATAGTACATATATGCGGACTTCTTAGTGAGTTAGCTGTATATGCTTACACACGTTGAGCTCAACATATCTGTGATAATAGGTGGCAGGTTTTACAAGTGATCAATTGATGCAACAGATTGCCACAGATTCATCTCATTTAAATAGCCCTGAAAAAGCATTTATAAGCCTTTTCACTTTGTGTTAATTCATAAGTATATATATTTTTAAAGTTTAATACAGAGGTGAGACAATTTGTGTTTTGTCTGTGATTCTCCTGCAGTTATGAGATGTTCTGGGCTCAGTGTTGATGTATCTCTGAGCAACAGGCTACTGTACAAGTTTAAACCACCAATTTTTTGTAATTGTATTTTCACTGCAATTATTGCATACTTAATCATGGATACATAATTTAGTTGGGGCTCTGAATTGCAAGTTTCTCCTAATTTATTTAATCTTTCGTGCCTACCAGTTATTGTTTTAATTTAAAATATGCAGGGCAACATCACTATGCCTTAGTTAGTTTGCAACCAGTCACGCACTAAAAAAGGACTGACCGAGGCGATGCTTGTGTTTTCATGTGTCCCAGTAAAATGTTAAGTGTCAGGATTTAAAAGTACATTGTTGTTCTGCAGGAAGTTGTATGTGCCTCTTTGTCGATTACCTTTACACTAATTTTCATTGGCAAATTCCTAATTCCTACTCTGGATAGTACGCAGTATTACACCACAGCGGGTTGGCCTGATAGATGTTGGGCCCTCCACACTTCTCCTACACACATCATCTCATCCATACCACCTCTCATCTGCAACGCAGCAG